TCTTAAAACCATTTGGAGATATCTTGAATATGAGTTCAAGACATCTCGAAATTGATTTTCAGATATCTTGGAATCAATGAAAATACATCTGAAAAGCCTTAATCAAAGGCTTTCAGTGTCGTGAGTCTTTCAAGATATCTTGAAATAATTAGAGATATCTTGAAATAAATCAAGATATCTTGAAATAATCAAAAGAGGCCGCTTTAAATTGAATAAATGTCACTTATGCGCCTCAAATTATGATATTATTTGTATTCTTGTTTGAGTTTAGAAACTGAGTAACAAATATTTCAACAAAAACAGAAATCAGAAGATTCAAACCTAGTTTAAAATTTGTTTAAGATGCAAAAATATCTGTGAGCCAAACATTCAACTTATTACCCATACAAGTCTTTTGATTATCATCACTCGAATGTCTGACGGCTGAAATAATTCTGTTTGCTTTTCATAATGATCGTTACAGTTACTTGACGAAACGAAGAAAGTTCGATATTGGGTACTTGATTGACGGAGTGTTGGGCGCGTTAGTATCAATCACAGGTAAGAAATTCTACGATCGTATAGGCCTTTTATGTAATAGCTGAAATAGCCCTATTGCTTTGTGGCATATAACTTTATACACTGAAACACATTTGTCCTCCCAAGAGATGCGCCAACGTCACATACTTGAAATGAAAAGCAGTTACAGTTTTAGAAGTGGGAGGAAAACCCCAGAGGAATATTCTGGGTAAAACCCACGGAATCGGGTAGGGACTAAAAACCCAATCCACATGTGGACCGAGTAAGGAATCGAAGGGCCAGGAATTGCAGAGGTGGAAGGCGAGGAAAGAACCACTACGCATTCCCGATTCCTTATATAATTTTACCATAGCATTCGAAATTTATATCCGGTTTTCTGAAATATGCGAAAATGCACATACAGGTTCACCTGTTAGCTTTAGGGAGCGTTCTTCACATTTACAATACAAGTGAGGGTGATGTGGTTATGACGTCACTTTGTGCATATTCATGCTACAGTTTAAGGGTTTTAATACTTATGAACCCGAAATACAGCTCATCAAAGCCCTGACATGGGCAAAGTTTGTTCAGTGACTGTCGAGTACTAAATCAATAATGAAAGCGAAAAACTGAAGCAGTTTTTATATTGAGCTCTTGCCTGGGATGACATTTCGGTATGCTCATAATACGGAAATGTATGCTTAAGATAATGCAGAAAAAGCTACGAAACAAAGTGGAAACCAAGATAAAGGTGAATTTTAAAATAATGTATTCAAAAAATTTTAACCACACCGTGACTGCAAAAACTGTTGGCAAATGAACATTTTTAAACACTTTTTGTTGGAGTATCAATGGATAGTTTTGAGTAACTGAACCTTGACATTTTGCAATAGGTCACATTATGTTTAGACTGTTAACATTTTTACAGGGCACAAGATTGTGTTGAATTGCTTAATACAGTACGTATGCCTTTAAATTACAGATACGAATGATATGAAAGCAAAGAAATTCAAAATGCGGGAACCCTCTCTTTAAAATTATTTCGATACAGTTCATGGCTTTAATCATCCCCGAGAACAATGTTATGGTTTACTGTTTTCGACCGGTACCCTAGATGAGCAAATATCGCAATTGTCATAGGTAGATGTCAGAAACCCTTCGATCTAAACTGCGTTTGAAAAAAGAGGGAATGGTGGTAATAAGAAGGAAAAGTTTTATTAAAATTGATAATGGAAATCTAAATGTATCTGAAATGTAATGTTGAACACCGTTTCCGATGGACTTGAATGCAAACACTGGTGATTCAATTAAATAACTACATGTTCCACAAATCTGCCGCTTCTACCTAGTTCCGTGTCGATAATTACATGAACCATGGACTCTCATACCCTCTACTCAGAAATCAGCCCTCCTTAGACTTCGAATTTTTGTCTCATCAACTCGGATCGCGACTCACAAATTAAATTACCGTCACGTATGGACCATGCGGTGACTGCTTCGCGACGTTTAGTTTGGAAATTTCTAATGCACGATGGCACTCTCCGAGAATTTTTTAGCCATAGGTATTGAACACGTTTCATGCAGAATTACCATTTTGTGCCGTGTGCAGTAAATTTTTAACGTAAGGTTGACAACACCCATCCGAAAAGAACGAACAAAGAAATATTGCTGGATAAAGAACATATTCAGCCTACATCAGCTTCAACTGAGAACGAAAAAAAGAGGTGCAGTTTTAATGCTTTCAATACTGTCGGAATTGCAAAAACTAAATCAACACTTTAATTCAGCCAGTGATGATGAATGTTAGATGAAAGCTGTGGCCTTCAAAACTATTGAAAGCAGATACAAACCGGCGATAATGGCGTAGTAAATAACATCGTCTTCACTGAAGCACATCCCATCAAGCGGGCAAATTCTGGCCTTTGTATCAAAGTAGGATGCATGACCAGCCATGCGCGACAATGAGCGTGTTACCTTGAGCAGAATACCCTGAATATTCTATCGGGGACCAAATATCCCAGAATAAACGTGCAAGTATATACATTCAGGGAAAGTGGACACAATTCTGGTGTGCAATCAAAGTGATCTTACGGGGCCACCCGTTTGATCGTCATTATTCACTGAAAATGTCAACGCCCTCTACATTTTGTCAACGCCCTCTACACTCGGGTCGAAGAGAATCAGCGTACGTCTGTTGAACACGGACGTGTATAATAAAATCTGGTCTCGCAATGCCCTTAATCAGC